TGTGTGTGTGTGTGTGTGTGTGTGTGTGTGTGTGTGTGTGTGTGTGTTTCTGTATGTGTCTGTGTCTGCAGATGCACATGTGTACATTCCTTACTGTTTAAGAAAGGGTCTCTTTCTTGACTGGTACTTGCCAAATAGGCTAGGTTGGGTGATCAGAGATACACCTGTCTCCCCTTTCAGCCACTACACCTAGTTTTTCTTTTTCTTCTTTCCTCATTGTTTTTGAATGTGGTTCTAGGAATCAAACACAATCCCCTGAGCTTTCAAAGCAAGTATTTTATCAACGGAGCCATAACCCCAGCCAGATTTAGTATTTTCAAACTACGGACTCAAACATATGCTTATTTGGAGGGTTATTTTTTAAAAAAGAAAGAAAAGAAAAGAAAAGAAAAAAGGAAAAAAGACAAAGCCTGTGGTGCTGGGTATTAGTAAATCCAAGTTGTGTGTTCTTTTCAGGTGATTAGAGGATTGATCATTGATGTGTATGTCCAAACAGTACCTTTAGTAACTTTAGTGTCATCCTATAGAAAGTCAGAGGATCAGCAATGTCAGGGATGCTTCCTGTGGTGGCCTAGTCAGCATAGAAAGGCAAAATGGAATATCTGTCCCCAGTGTCTATATCTTGTAGATTTCAAATGTATGGTGGTTTATTACATTTTTATTTGTTTGTTATGTGTTTGAGTATTTTGCATGCCTGTGCATATTGCCTAGTGCCTACAAATGTCAAAAAATGATGTCAGATTGTCTGGAACTGGAGTTATAGTTGGTTGTGAGTCAACATATATGTGCTGGGAAGAGAATCTAAGTTCTCTGCAGAAGCAACAAGCACTCTTCACTGCTGAGTCATCTCTTCTGCTCTTACCTATGATGCTTTTGCCCATCCCTGCAACCAGATCATTCTCAATTTGTTCTTTAGGTTCCAGCCTTAACTCATGAATTATTTGGCCATATCTATGTTCTGTTTCAGTTTGGCTGCTTACTATGAGAGTGATCTTGGGTAAAGTATCCTTTCAAAGCACCAGGATCCAAGTCTGGGAAACAAGATTTTGATACCACCCACCTGTGCTGATTTGGATGAGGATGAAATAAACATATGGGAGCTTTGTACTCAACTTATGGCAAATCCCTCTATGATCTAAAAAGCATACTTTTCATATATCTTTAGTTTTGCTGAATCAGGAGGTATCTCTTTAGCATCAAGTTCATTTGACTGGCATTATGTTTCTCTTGCTCTCCAAAGTAGTTCACGAATCCATCAAATTTAGGGTGAACAAAATAAAGTATTTAATATTAATTTCAACTGAGATGATAAATCATAACTATATATCTTTTATAAAATATTTTTATTTTATGTATATGAGTGTTTGCCTGTGTGTATATAAGTGTACTGCATGCATGGCTAGTGCCCTCAGAGACAATATCAGAACCCCTGGAACTGGAATTATGGATTGTTTTGAGCTACTATATGATACTGAATCTAGGTTCTCTGCAAGAACAAACAGTAGGTGCTCTTAGCTGCTGATCCATCTCTCCAGCATCCTGTATATATCTATTCCTTAATTAGTTAACTGGTATAATAAATCAGTGATCAACATCATCAAACAAAAACTAATTTAAGGCCATTAAAAGTAAAGAACTCCAGGCTAGCAAATTTTCAGCTCTGTTTCCTAACCACTTGGTGCCAGAATAGCTAAATGATTCAATTTGTCATGTACAATAACAAATAGGATTTTTGAATACCTTGGAGTTGTCAGGCCTAAGGAAGAACATTTCCAGAGAGAGGTACAGCTTGTCTGAGGTAAATCATGCCATGTTAAAGAAACATCATTTTCTTATATTGCTACTGAGAAGACTTCAAGAACTTTGACATGATAGGTAAGCACTCAACTGCTAACCTATATCACCAAATCCTTTTGTTGGATTAGATTTCATTTCATTTCACTTCACTTCACTTCATTTCACTTCACTTCACTTCACTTCACTTCACTTCACTTCACTTCACTTCACTT